TCGTATTGAAATGAAGTTCAGACAATAGTAGTTCTAACTCTACGAATACTTTCATGTTCATTTCTTCTGTAAATAAATTTATAAATTTTCTTTAAATAAACTTTTACAAAGAAAATATTACTATTCATTATTTACTTCTAGATATTAAATTTATCTTTAGTTATAACAAACGTCTTCATTTTCCTATACAGTCAAGAAAATGTCTGGTCAATCATAAACAAAACAAACAAAACTATTTAAATTTGTTTGCAAACAGGCAGCATTAATGCGGGAACCTTATCGTAATTCACCTTGGGCAACAAATCAAATTAGTAAAACAAATAAAAAAAAGAAAATTGTTCGATAAACATCATCATCAGTTGAAAAAGTACGTATCATCGAAGAATACATTTCTCCATATTTAAAGCATCTTCTAGTTGGTTATTATTATTATTATTCAATTTTCTTTATATAGAATGAACAATTGTCAAAAAAATCCAATCATTCGAAAAACACAAATCATACTGCTTTCAATGAATACATTTAAAGATTGTTTAAATGGAATTTTTGTTTTTTTCTTTACTTGTGGTATTAATGTATATAATTGTAGCAATGTCGTGGAGATGTGCTATTGAACATTTTCTGTCAATGTATCATACAAACTAAATGTGCATGATTAGAATAAATCTTCCTTTCTTTTGCAATTCTCGACAATTAAAAAGAGTATGGAATCGTATAAGAATTCATAGGAAACAAAACTGTAATTTTTTCAATAAGTATCTCATAATCAATTCTTAGTAAACAATGAGTGTGAGATTGAAACATTATACGGGCCGATCGCATAAAACTAAAAACGATTTAACTTTTTCTTAGGTTAGGTCAGTAGGCTTTCACATACACTACAACAGCTAATTGACTAATCAGAATATAGAATAGCCTCCATAATGTCGAGAAAAATATGAATACGCTTCGCTTTCAAGTTCTAAAAAACGTTTTCTCCATTTATAAGAGCTATAACACTAAAAAATCACGATCTGTAGAATAAGAAACAAAATCAGACTACTATTATTTTACAATATTTAATTTTTTCTGGCGACAACACAGCTATTCGTTTCTCTACCCACGTATATTTTCCATTGATCAACCAATCTATTGAATGATTGGCATATTAAGAAACGAACTGAGATAAGTCATTTCAAAAAGATGATTCATCTTTACATTTTCTTTTTCAGTGAGCTCATTGCTTAATATGGTCTTAACTTGTTTGGTGTGATTTCGGTCAGAGTCACCTAGCATCCTACAAGATAACTCAAATAACGTCGTCTTGAGACTCTCTAGGACATTCATTGCTAGAAATCATGCTGTAAACTAATATCAAACTATTTATTTGTATAATTTACGCAAAACTAACATCCAATTCGTGTGTCTCGACTCCGATTGCTTTTGATCAAACTTTATACGAAATTTTTTTTTGCAAAAATAATGGTTCTTTTTTTTTAAAACTAACCTCAGATTTGAGTTTTTTTACCTCAATTACCTTTGATGAAGTTTTACTGAGAACCTTTATCAGTATGTAGCGATTGAAGAATGAACATACTTAACTCACTTGCGTATGTTTTTTTCATTACAGAGAACCAAATGGAACAATTCTTTTTGTCTTAACTCTGTATCTCAAATTAAAGATTTACCTTCGTGGTATATAATATCTTTTATCTGCTTCCAGATATTATAGTTTTTAGAAATAATAGCATTTAATTCTATATTCTCACACTGGCTTACTCTATGTATATCACAAATGAGTGGTAGTTGTTCTAAACATCATACTGCACTGACCGTCGGTATAATTGGAAATGGTAATTCAGCGTTTGTAGTCAATGGTTTGACTTTCAATCTGTCGAGCATGTTGGAGACAGCAATCACTTTCACTGTCAAAAAGTATCGTGTTGAATTGATAGCAATACATTTTGTATCGTTTAGCTTGATATTTTTATCTATATTAATGATTGTTCGATATCTTATGTCACATCATTGGACTAAAAAAGATACATCTTCAGAACCATATGAAAAACGATGTAAACATGACACTATAGAAACTCAAAGGACGGATTGTGTTGATGAAAAAGTTAGAATATCTCAGAAGAATTGCTTCTATAACTACATTTAATTTATATATAGCATCTTGTAACACTGGAAACTGATATTGTAGAATACCAGAATTACTTCGAAAAGGTTTTTTTTGTGTAATCACTCTTAGATATTTGTTTAAAAATCTACTACATATTTAGCTTGACCATGCTTTAAATGAACTTAATAATATATTACTCTACGATACTGAGAATATCGATGCGTTTCAAAATTCAATTAAATCCATTGAAAATATGTATGATGTTGCACAGACTTCATCTTCGATGAATTTTTTTGTAACAATGAAACTTATTGACAAAAACTTTACTGGTAAGTAACTAATTCACATTCCACTTTGATGAAATTGTTTAGGTCTTTGTATGATTGTTATAAAAAAAACATAAAATATATGTTGTGGTGTCGTGAAAGATGGCAGGTGACATTCAGAACGTTGCACTGTATGTATCGTTATATGAAATTATCACATAATATATGTCATGTGAGTATTTACAAATGATGATGGATGGATCTATAAATTGTTGTTTTTGTACAATAATCTGACTATTTCAATTATTTAGAGTGCTATTGTCGCTGGTATAATACCTCAGCTTGCTTCGTACATATCTGAAGTATTACATTTGGAGAATTTAGATGAAACTCACGTAATGATTTGTATTTTTTTTCTCATTACGATTCGTTCAATTAATGTAGTCAGTAGCAGTTATATTCGAAATCATATTAAGAATATTTCATACAAGCACTCAAATCGAAGAAATGAGACATCACTTGATAAAGAACAATTGTTGCACAGTTAGTTACACAATGATGTGTTTCTAATACAATATTCTTAATTTATGATTGTTGGCATTACTTCGAGTGGTACAACACACGAGAAACAAACTGTTTCGATCTATTATATTTTTTACTCTCACTCAATTGAATGAAGATAATATAATTAAAATTCCATTAACAAACGAGGATGGTAAGGGAACAACGAAGTTTTCTATAAACAATATATGATATATTTTACTTTCATTAATAGTGCCTGTCCTATTTCGCTTATACTATGAATTAGCGGTGTCAAAAACCCAAATGGCTTATGAACTTAAGTGTAGCGAGATATTGAATGGGTTTTTTAGCATTGGACGTTGTGAATGGCAGTCTTTCAATATTGGGAAAAGTTGATATTTTTCATTCAAACTATTCATGTTAGAACAAACAAATCGAAAAACAAGATTTATGGACAAAATACACATGTGACTTTACCTCATTTCGTACATATCTTCTTTATGCAATCTTTGATTCCATAGCTTAGAATTTTCTTTTCAAACTGTTGTTAAATTTTAGTTATTTGTATTTGTATTTGGAATATGTATCGTATAAACATTGACTTAAATATATATAGTCAGATAAAGATAAAATAAAGATCTGGACTCCTGTTGCAGTGATTTTTAAGATAAGAAATGGATTTTTTTTGTTAAGAATAGGTAAAAAAGAACAACGAAATTTATATAGCTAGATATCAATTATAACAACTTAGAAAAAGTGATAATATACATATTCTAGTGTGGCTTTCTGTCTTAGTAGCAATCAATTGGTTTAAATATGCAAGAACTGTATCTGCACGTGTACTGTGATTATATATCGTGATAGAAATTTAAATTAGATGGTCAGCGTAAAAAATCTAAATTGAGGAAGTCGTACTAGTTATCGTCAAGAAAAGTTTGACATATATATATATACTATATCAGAGGGCGATATTTAGGAAAACTCAAAGGCTTATTTTTATTCAAAATATTCAAAACTATTGAAGAATGTGCAATCCTTCTCTGGATTATACGTACACAAGTATTGTAAGCAATAGTTCAAATTTTGGAGTACTGTAAAATCTAAATGAAATAGTCTTCTAATTCAATATAAGGTTGTTAATATTGATCATTTTATTCCGAATTGAATTATTATTTGTAGCAAGCATCCTAACATCTGTCATCGATGACATGATGACAAAAGTTCGAGTTATTTGTAAGTTTTTATCATCATTGTCAGGACAATTAATATGATCCAAGGTCCATCAATATTCATTGTACATATTTAGCAGTCTCGTTTTCATTACTCAAATCTACATGAAAGAAACGGTCGATTAAGCTAGTGATCAAAATAATTGATACATAAATCTCCATATCGTTCTGATGATATGATTTCTAAGAGAAGAGAACTAAACGTCGTTTATGTCAATAATCATTGATGAGGTTTAATTAACTTGAAATTATAATTATCGTGAGACTGAAAATAACTTTTTATTACGCATAAATAAATTCTAAATCAGAATCTTGCAAGAAAGTAATTGAATTTCGTTTAAGGAACACTCCTTTCAGTAGAGGGCTTAGCGACGTTTGCGTCGCGTTACTTGTTATGAACATATGTCTCTGAAATCTCAGTTCTAGACGAAACGATATGTATGCATCTTCATCTGTAAAAACTCGACCATATATCAACAAAATCCAATCGGCTGACAAAACGTCAGGATGTGAGAGTGAAATGCTTTAACTTATCATTTTTACGCGATGAATATTGTTTTCATCGGGTTTCAAATTAGCACGATTGTGACAAAAAATCTGAAGATATTTGAAGGGCAATATAGATTATATTTGATTTTTTTTCCAGATGACGTTGTGAGCGGAGGTACTTTGACAAATTTATTAGCTACATACTCATGACTGGGGTATGGGTGTGAGTGTGTGTTTGGTTCTTCTCTTCAATTGCACTCATACCTACCCACACCCTAATATTTTCTCATTTAAGTTTCTCTTTATTCTTGTTTTGAATATTTATAATTCATTGTTAATACTAGAACAGTTATTAAATAGCTTAAAATATAAGCATTTTGTGTAATCATGTTACGATTTAGACCACCCAACAAATGTTCCATCGGCTGTTCGTTGCATTTGATGCACTTCGACAATAGCATCAGGTTGAATTGGTCCATAGATGTGTGGAAATATCGAATCAAGAACTTCATCTGAATAGTGTTCCCATTTGACGGGTGACAATAATTTCGTTGTATCGATCACCAGTAATACAAAATCACCTTCGATTTGTCGACAAAATCGATTAGCCACTTTAAGCAAAAGTTCATCACCAGCTGTACAATGAATGAAACCATCTTTTTCGTATTCAGCTGGTAGATATGGCGTATTCTTAGGCCATGCTTGCCAACGTTTAACAAGAACAAGGTGATAGATAAGACTCATTCTCTTCTCTATTTTACAGCGTAAGAGTGGTGCATGCAATAACAGTAAAGGTGAATAGAATGGAAGTGCGCAGAACACGATTTAGATAGTGGACGAATACGTGGAATGGCTTGCTAAGAAAATCTGAGCCTCCACAGTCACTATTTAGATTGTATCTGCTGATAGAGGGCACTTGTCGATGTTCTGAACTTGATCGAGCAACGTCTAGCTATAATAAAGTTGCTTGAAATTCCATGAAAATAAACATTATTGTTCTTAGATATAAGAACGATTTCACTTTTTTCACACTTGTTATATTGTGAGGGTGTGTAGGTGTGCATGTGTAAGTGCAGTTGAAGAGAAAAACTAAACGCACACCCATATCCTGCCGACAAGAAAAACAATGTTTTATGATCATAAAACATTTTTTTTCTCGTTGGAACTAATATATTATTTCTATTGTTTTATTTGAATAAGTTCAAAAGAGAGCTTTATTTTCATATTCTTACATGTAACATCTTTAGTATTTAATTCATTATTGGCATTCAAATAAATGAAAATCAAAAATGAAATCGCGAGTAAAGTGTTCGTAATTTAGCGAAGATTTTTATGTGTTTGAGGAACAGTTGGAGAATCATTTGGGAAAACATGATTTAGAAGAAATCAAAGAGTTTTTATTCGTAGCAGCATAGAAAGGACGTAAATATCATCCAAATTTATTTAGTTTTCCGTCTATTCTATGTTTATTGAAATTCACACTTATAGAAATCAAATTCTGAATAGTGTTTCGTCTTCCTATAATTGCTAACTTTGGTTTTTATAGCAATACAATAAGTTTTATTGAAATTAAAATGATTTTGTGTTAGAGAAATTTTATGAAAAGAAATGATCGGATTAATAATATTTGGATGAATACCCATGTATCCATTTTTTAATTTTCGACGCATCCCCGAGCGTTTGTCAGCAATATAATTTCACGCGTCTGGATGCAGCCAAAATGCAACATTTTTGGGTGCCCTAACGCGTTCTAATAGAGAAACCCATCCTGACGCTGTTTATTGTTAGAAGTGTCGAAACGCGTTTTAGGATATCCAAAATTTGTTAAATTTTAAAAAATTGTGCTTTATATCATGGTATCGATCCATTTTCATCGCTACATGATATTTTTATTTCAATTTAACACATTATTAAGTTATTGAATAGAGTGCAACAAACGAAATTCGATCATGATGCCTACAGAATGAAAAACATTGAACTTATCACGAAGCTATAAATATTCGTACAGTCTTATCTGTTATTATCATGTGACTTTTTATAGAGAAAAAGATCAATTTATAGCAATTGCTTCATTAAATAATATAAACTTTGAAATATTTTCATTTTTTTAATTTATCAGTGTCACTTAAAATTGCATACATGACATCGGTTACATATGATTAACTTTATAAAAAGAATAATTATAATTTTTGGATCACAGAATAAGAGAAAAACGGTTTTTTCGATAATTAATTGCTTATTTAATAAATGCTCAATGGATGTAGCATCTTAACTTTTTTGTCTTTTTAAAGTAAAAAAAAATTAATTCAAATTTTAAATTCAAATTAAGTAATTATTTTTTCTTTTTTACTTTGAATGAAATTTTTAATCATAGCGAAGTGAAGATAAATTTTATAGAATTTACTTTTCAAAAAAAATAGTGGAAATTGTAGAAAGTAAATTTAAAGGATTGCATATTTTGTAGACGATTATATGCATTTTGTTTTTTCTGTCACGTATGACTCTTTAGTGTAAGAATGAAGAAGCAGAAAAAACTTTCGACTTTAACACATAAACATTAAATGTATTGTAAATGCGTTCATAACCAACCCAGATAAAATATTTGTTGCACATGGATGCATCTAAACGCCCGATGGCAATAGTGTCTGAATGCACATTTTGTGTTCTGACTGCATTTAGACGCTATTTTAAGTTGTTTTTAGCCACATTCAGACACAATTATGTGTTTGTATGTCTAATAGGTTTACATGGAAACTAACTTTGATCTTCATGTTTGAGTTAGAATAGACACTTTTGCTTAATAATTAAATTTTATTTATTATGAAATTTAAATTAACTACGCTTAACATATGTGTTATACAAGAGCGAAATTGATTTCGTGAAAAAAAAGTGCTGGTAGTGACATATAGCAAAATAATATTATTGTAATACCGTTTTCAAATGAATGTTCTATACATTTCAAAATTTGATACATGTACTCATCTGTTTCTATTTCACAGATTAACTAAGTCTTCATGACTTTATATGCTGAACAACAATATGATGAGATTTCTCGTATCCAACTATTTGTGTTTATATGCTGTGTCATGCAATGCTAGCCACTGATATTTGAAACTGTAGATTATCAAGAAGAGTCCTCTTTAAAAATTCGAAACGCAGTAAGACTTAAATACGTCATCTATATAATTAAGTACATAATTTTTATGCTTTTTTAAATAAAAAATACGTAGTTCAGTTTACTGTTTGAGATCTAGTCACGCGTACTGTGACGAAGTAACCTGCATTATTGATAGCACTATGTGAATTTGCAGCTAGAAACGTATTCAGATGCATCTTGTCTATGCAAAATAGAAAAAGAAACTACATTTACATGCACGACTGGAACTCAAAAGCATTAGTTGCATAAAGGAAAAGCGCATTCGGATGCAAAAGTAAAAGCAATTGCATTCAAACGCGTCTAAGTTAATATTATTTCCAGGTATGAACGCATTCCATTGCAAAAATGATACTGTTCGCGTTGAAATACGTTTAAAAACTACTGTAAATCAGTTGTGATGCGTTTTATGATTAAATGGGTATTAACTATTGGTATACTTATTAGATTGTTTAGATTAATAGCAAACATTATTGAAGATATATAGGATTTACCATCAAAATACTATTGTGGTATTTGTAAAAATACAAGAGCCCTTTTGATTCTCTCTCTAGATAAACACTATCAGGATATCAGTTTAATATTGTCATTCGTGAAGTCCTTCATAAACGTTTAAAATTAAAATGAAACTAAAAGCTTATTTTTAACATCTAATACTTGATCATCATTATATGAGTTACAAATCTTCTTACTATAAGTTGACACTTTTACATGGAAGTTGGAGTTCTATTAAACTCCTGTTCATTTGACAACTTTTCAAATAATAATGAAAAATTTCAGCAGTGAAATACCGATCATGAAAGCAGGTACAGAAATAATCAACTCTTTAAAATGAAACTGCATACAACATAACTTTTTACGGTCACAGTTATAGTAGGATTTTCAAAAAATCTACAGTTGGAGTTGAATTGGACTATAGAAAACAGAGGTGCAGTCGACGAAGTGATGGTTTGAGAAATACACATGATAGCTGGAATAGTACATAGACGAAATTGTCCATCTCTCTCAGTTTTTCTATAGTCATTCCCATTAAGAATCAAACATGATTTATAATCATTTGCGCTTTTCTTGTTGAAAGAACTGTTTTGATTAATAATATAAAGTATTGTATCCATTTAGGTCAAAATTCTTTAATGGATTGTGACGAGATGAACAGATTGAGTTGAGAGTGAACCTCAGCGTATATCAAGGCTATTGTAGTGTCAAAAGAATTAAAAACTACCTCGAGCTCTTTTAGAATATTAAATATTCGTTGAGCCTAAACGTTCATTCGACATGCTAATATAGTTCTTGATCGAATAGAACAATAGTAGTTTTATTGCTTTATTCAGGATGTAAGGGCATATTTCCTAAAGGAAAGTGTTATATTATTTCAATTAATATACAGATAATGAATATTTTTATAAAACAGCAAATATTTCAGTCACTCAAATATAATTTTTCCAAAAAAAGACTAAAGTCAATGCCACCTTTTGCTTTTGTATTCTACATGTTGATTGTCATAAATATGACACGAGTATCCCAAAAAAAGTCTTGTCTCGAATTCGTCTCCTCAACGTAAGCTGATTGTAGAGAATTCAAAAAAAAATTATTTTAGGTTGAAAAATCAAAGCATAAGTGTATTATACATTCATTTTTATAATTAGTTTCTTCTTATCTGTTTACTGTAACAAACCTGATGCATTTACTTTCTAAAAAATAAATGATTGATAAATAGTTCAAAAGAGATTATTAGTACTATAAATTTGTTTTTTTTCTCAATTTATAATACTGATGAATTCTACATATATCAAAAGTTTGTAATAGCAGTATTCAATCTCATAATGAAAATTTGAGTTTATGATCACATAGAAAAAGATTTTGATACAAGAATTTATGTATCTTTTAAAAATGACAAAAAAAATCACTTTTATATTCTTCAATCAAACTGCTTCAATGAAATCTTTGACTTTCTTTCAATAAGATCATATTACTATCATATCTTATTATAACATATTTAACAGAAAAAAACTTCCATCTAGAAAATATTCTATGTATTATTATTCACTGAATATAATATTCAGAAAAGTTCAAAACTTTCAAGTAACTCTCTTTCCACAATAAATATGAGTCCTCCTTGAAAGAATGATATGTCAAACATAATCGAATAACTTAGTAAACTGTTACATTGTTCTAACAATATTTAATACACAAGTTATCATTTATTTTTACAGCATGAATGTCTGAACAAAAATCCTATTCATGTGCGTTAAAATAAACATAAAGAAATGATAGTTCATCTAGTAAATCTATCTTACGTAACGCAATATTAATTTAACCCTTATCCTCCACAGCGGTTCCAGAAGAGTCACTGATAAAATAACTTTATAAATACAATATTAGCCTCTCTAATATGCCAATGATGTGGTCTGATCCATCGAATGTCCTGCTCTTAGAATAGGACGGCTCGATAGACTCAGCGATCATATGATGGAAAAAAGGGAATTGAACAACATCATGAGACTTGAGTTTTTTTCTTTAATCACATTATTGAGTGAGCAGAAGCAACATATATCCCGTACTCTAGAAATAATGGGAAAAGAACTGTTCTGAGCCATTTTATGATCTCAGAAGAAATTTAATTCATAATAAATACTATTTCAACTTGTCATGAGTTGAGATTTATAATGCATATATTAACTTTGTTCTTGATTGCTCTCCATCTACATAATAGTGTGTCTGAGCATGTGTAATTCGTTAAGTTATCATGAAACTTTTGAAACATATTTTATTCATTAGTGAATTTCTTCATCAATTAATATCGCACAGAAATTCCAAAAGATCTCTATTGCCTATGGGTATAGAATATTTTTTTTGAAAAATTTCAATTTTTTTAATTTTTTTCAAAATTATCGATTTTGAAAACCCAGTATTTCAACGATGAAGCAATGAAAAAAAAATACTCTTTTTACCAATTGATAGTCCATGATGTTTACTACAAAGAAGTTTCTTATCGTTTTTGAATCCAACACTTCCTTTATTTTCTACAATGTTTCTAAAAATGACAATTCCAGTTGCCAATGGGGGGTACAGAGTTAACAATGAAAAAAAAAATGTTTACTGTTTGTCTGAATAAGCATGACTCTTCCTTGAAGTTGAAAGGGATGATAAGTAAAATTTTTATTTTTTCCAGAAGAAAGAAAAAAAAGAATGTGAAATAGAAAAAATCTTCAGTAAGAAAAAACATCACTCAATAGAATCATTATGGCTTCTTCAACAGCTATAGATATTCTACGTATAAGTCAAACATATACACAGTATACTAGTCGCATTATACTCATTATTGGAATAATCGGAAATTTTCTTAATATTTTTGTTTTTACTAATTTCAAAGCGTTTCGAAATAATCAATGTGCTTTATATTTTGTAACCGAATCAATATCAAATATATGTCAATTAATAATATATTTTGTTATATATGCATTAGTAACATCAGATGGCATTGATCCAGGAAATTCAATACTTTTTTGGTGTAAATTTCGTGCTACAATGATTCCATTATGTACAATAATTTCATTTTCTATAATATGTTTCTCTGCTTGTGATCAATATCTTTCAACAAATCTTCATTTCAATTTAAGAAAATTGAGTACAATTAAATTGGCTCAAATTTTAATATTTACAGCGATTGTTATTTCAATATTACATGCCATTCCATTTTGTATTTTTCTTGAAATTCGAGCATCGCGATGTAGTGTTTTCAATCCAATAATGTCTCAATATCTATCATTTTTCTATTATCCAATATTATCTGGACTTCTACCAATTTTCATAGCATCATTATTTAGTATTTTAGCATATCGCAATGTTCGACGAATTGTTCGACGACAAATACCTATAGTTCGTCGACGACTTGATCGACAATTGACAGCAATGGTCCTTATTCGTGTTATTACGTTTGTTATTTTAACATCACCTTATGCTATTCAAAGAATGTATACATATATTGCAAAAATTGATCCATCAAATCTTTTTCCATATGCAATTAATATTCTAGTGGGAGGAATTATAAGTTCATTTTTCAATTTAAATTATGCGGTAACATTTTTTAAATGATACTATTTTTTTTATTATTATTTACATAATGTATTTTTTATTTAGATATCTTTTTATATATTTATGGCATCTTCATCAAGATTTCGTCGTCAGGTGAAATATATTTTGCTAAAAAACTTTTGGCGACGATTGAAACAATGGTTTTCTTGCAATGAAAATCAAATTCATCCAGACATACCGACGCAATCAGTTGATTCCGGCATTGAACTACAATGAAGAGATCTTGACACTAAATTTTTACAGACTTTGCTTTATTATCTTATATAAATTATTTTTGTTTGTAATATATATTAAATAATTACTGTTCATGTCGAGATTTCCGTAATCTTATTTTTTTTCACTTTTTTTATGCATGATGAGGTTCCATAGAGCACGTTGAGTTACATAGGAAAAGTGTCTCTCAAATAAAGGCCTCTGTCGGATAAAAAAAAACTATATGAACCTTGCCGACGAAATACGAGCCATTCTATTATTTTTTTTCTACTATACATCTGGTAGAGAAATATTTTTTCTCTCACCTCATGTATTTAGAGATGTACTACACTCCTTTATATATACGGCTTTTTTAATAGAAGATCTTCGAGTCAATACTTAGACCCAAACATTTTCTATTAAAAACTGTTGGCTATGAAGATTTCTGGTTTGTCTAAAAGTATATAGGAAGACAACAAAAATATTTCTCTACCAGATGCATAGCGAAATAATATATTGATAGAACGGCTTATATTTCGTTGACCGGATTCAGAAAATTTTGTTAGACGCGATGAAGGACTTTACTTTCCAATTTTTTAGAGTGGGTTTGTCAGGTAAAGCTCTTTCGAAAAATTTCATTAAAAAGTAGCCTCGTGTTTAGAGACTTAGACGTTATCAAAAAGTATCTTTTATCAAAATTTGATCACTACTCCACCTTTGATTCTTTTCAATTAATATCGTCTGTGGTTCCCCCCGATGAAATTTTGATGAAAAATATTTTGTAATATAATCTAAGTTTTTAAACACAAGGACATTTTTTAAAGTTTTTCTTCTGTTATAGAGAAAAAATTGTTTTTCTTCAATAAGAAATTAAAACAAACTACAAAAGCTACTTGACTTTTTTCAGGCAAGATGTTTAGAATCACATTAAAAAGTGAGAAAATCTTTTAATCTGAAAAGGTTACTTCATTTGGGAACTCTGAACATCCTATTTCTCACAAATCGTTTCGGTTCAAAATATTTTATACTTCTATCATATTGGAATAGGCATAGAAATTACTTTTTCTGAGTCAATTTTATTCTATACAGTAGAAGAAAATATTTCTAAAGTTTCACAGAACGAAAAGAATCTTTTATTCATAGTCGTATACAAAATTGACATTTTTTGTAATGAAATCTAAGATTTGAGATTTTTCGAAAGTTTGTTGTTTGAAAACCTACTCTAAAAAATTGAAGAGACATTTTTCCTAAGCAATTCAATGCACTCTATCCAACCGTGCATAAAAGCTTGCGAAAATTTTGAACTGTGTACACCTAAATATCTTCTGAACGACAACACTTATTGAGTTATAATTGTCTTCTTTAATGTAAGGTGAATACCATAGAATTTTGGTTTGTTATAAAATTTGATTATTTTTAAAGTGATCCAGTGATCAGTTAAAGACGGAACTCGGTTCAAACAGTTCGTTTTCATTTTGAGATCATTATCCCTCCTCCCTCATAATGGTATGATGTGTTATTTGGTATTGCCTTTTTTAAGAAAAAGCGGAAACTATTTTTTTAAAATTTCTTTCTGTGTTAATGTTTGTTTGATGGCATAATTCAGTATTCTCTGTAGGCTTTCATTATGTTTTTAATTCTTTTCTTTGTTTGACAGAACATACCAAGATATCGGGAGTATCAGAGTCGTTTTTTGAATTAAACCTTTTTACTATTATACAAAACAGTGCTTTTTTTTTAAATTAAAACGCCTTTTTTTGAAAGCTTTTTGCGATATTAATCTTGTCAGTCATTTTCTCCACTTAAAAAGTAAGAATGTGAAAAAAAATTGCTGTCACGTTCTGCATCCTGGCATGCTGTTTCAAACAGAAAGGAAATTCAATATGTAAAACGAGTGTTGACAGTGAACTTTGGATTGTTAAATGAATTTTCGTTGACTCTTGTATGATGAACATTTCTTTCAAATATCATTGTATAGAGCTGACAATTTTCCTATAGACTCTCCACTGCATTTCAAATATATCTTGAAAACTTTAGGCGATTTGAATATATGTACCTGGCGCGAAATCGATTTTGAGAAAGGAGTGGCCATAATGATACTGTCGATTTTCTCGCCTTGTTTTTTTCGAACTGTAAACGATATCCACTAATGTGCATTCTTGGCTACTTAAGAACTATTTGTCAGTTATAAAATTGTACGGAAAATGAATTTTCTTATAGATTCTTTTAAGTCATTGCTAGCCTGATGATGGATATGACATGTTGATAGACATAAAGTAAAAAATAGTTGTTGATGAACGCACTTATTCGAGTAATTAATAATAGTTCCGAAAGCTGTCTAAAATCTAATTACTAGGTTTAATTATAACAAAAAAAAATGACGTTTGAAGTTATTTTCAAGATGCATTGGATGGGTGTGTGGAACTTCTTCTGAATAACACTCACACCCATTCGGCTCCGAACCTAAATTCACCTCATCAGTCCCTTAAAAGAAGCTGTATTTTTATAACTAGTTGGTAGACTACGTAGTGCTAAGTGGTCTATTTGAATCCATATTAGAGGTATTGTAGTCTTGAAAGATAACTATAACTCCTCCGTAACAAGTGTCAAAATCAACCACACAACGCTCAATGGAATCACCAAGTAATGTTGGTAGTTTTTTGAATTCTTCGACACTTCGGTTAATAAGAATTTACTTGCTTATTACAATCTTCTTTCTTTCGCCCATTACAAAACGAAAAACTAAAGATAAGTTTAACAACAAAACACAATGAAAAAGAAAAATGTCTATATTCACGTAATAACAATATAAATTCAATTTTATTTTGTTACTGTAGTGGTTATTGCTCTTCATTGTTCGTCGTCTTGATTATCATGATCGAAATGATCTTCATATGATAGTCGAGCATCGATTGATCTTCGAAAAAGAGACAAATACGAAGATTAAATTTCTTCCTATGTTAATATTCAGTTTTTATTTGTTTACGCACTCAATATCAGAACATGAGGCATCAATTACTATTCAATGCTTCTTGAGTAACATGATCTTGAATGACTTTATGAATAGCTTTTATTCTTCTCTCACTGATGTCATAATTTACAATATTAAATACGCTCCAAATTGTTTTCCACCCCGGCAATATACTACTTTTGTCCCAACGGACCTAGAATTGATGGACACTTTTCTGACATCCATTTGTTGACGTTAGTATTCTTAGATCATGATCTATTAATGAGAAAAATTGAAAGAAAAGTCAGACATATAATTTGAGGTATTGTTTAGAGAAAGATTGCAAAGTAGACACTGACGAACTTTACTAAAAATATTGCCACAACTAACTCTAACGCATACTTCATCATCTCCATTGGGTTCTATTACCGAATAATATCTTTTCTGACTATATATTGCTTTATACCATACAATATTTTGATTTGATGGAAATCCTTTTGTAATCATTTCTTCAAGAGATATTGATACATCAGGTCTGGCTGTTGGATACACTTGGCAATATCGAGGAACGATATTCAAGCATTTACGCACCCAGACCCTCTAAAACAGAATAAAAGACAATACTTGTGAGATTAGTCACTAGTTTCAAAAGAAATAGTATGATTATGAAGACCCCTTACCAAAATCACCGAATTTGAAACGCGATCGAACCATACTTTTGAATAGTAATGAAGATGGGATCAAAGATTAAAAGAAAAGAAGTTAAATTTGAAAAATAAATATATACATAATCCATTTATATTTGATAAACAAGAAAGAAACATGTAAATAATGACAAAGCAATTATTATAAAAAAATTTCAAGTGCATGAAAAAAAAAGATTTTTGTGCTCAGAATAAATTAATTGATCCAAAATTTTCTTATCATCAGTAAAGAGTCGATGTAATTTGATGATTTGACTAGTTTTCTTAACTGCTTGTCTTGTTCACTTTCGCCGAGTAGCTGCAAAAACATTAACACCTACTACTAGAGTAGGAAGATTTTTTTTTTTTGAATAATATTGTATTCTTCATTTTTCAGTGTATAGATAAATCTCCCGTTTACTGATGATACAGTAGGTCTCTACACATCTTCGATGTCATTAATGGCCAATGCAATGGAATTTACGGCTGAATGTTATGTAGTTGAATCACTTCTTCAATCAACACTTGAATGCGTTTTTAATTCATCATGTTTAAGTACCGTAATGGAATTTTTTCTGGATACTTATTTGACTAATATCAAGCGTCTTGATGCTAATCGAACTCAATATCCACTTCAAACTATTATTTTTACATTTGTTAATAACTGATTCATAAAAAACTGGTCAACATTGAGTTATTTTATGGAATATTACAAAATTTGTACTTCTACTCTATATACATGTACATTCACTGAGCGTAATAATGCTCTTTATATAATAACAAAATTATTAATTATTATTCTACTTTGAATGTTCGAATCATTGTTTTATTAGAATTATCGTTGGATAATGATTGAAATTTGCATAACAAATAAAAAGCATCTTTATTTAACTAATTAGAATAAAACATTCTTTTAGATTTCTTTTTTGATCATCAAGAAAGAGAAAAATAGATTATTTTAGTTTTGATAAAATATGTCGGATGTTCTTTTCAATTTTTACAACATTAGGATGTGTAACAGCAAATAAACGACGATAGATTGTAACTGCTTTCTTATAATAGGATAGTGCTTGTTGACGTTCATCTTTGTCTGCATAAACAACATCTATACTCTCTAATGTCAATCCAATGTCAGGATTTTCAGGCGGAAAAGATTTAGTAGAGATTTGAAGCGATAGATGGAAATGTTTCAGTATCAGATCTCTCTTATCAAGACTTTTACGAAGGCTTCCAATGTTAATGTGCAATTTACTCGAGCAAGAGTGATGAAGAGGAAGACACTTCTTCCATATAGACAATGATCTCTGATAAACTTCTAGTGCTTCAAAATATCTCTACTCTTTCTTAAGACAATATTCATATTGTTTAAATATGTCGCAACATCAGAATGATTTTCGCCAAATACTCGTTTGTAAATCGTCAATTCCTTATTATATGATTCTAATTCACGCTTATAATCACCTTTCTTTCGATGCACATTGGCTAACTTGTTCCAAGCTCGATTTATAGTCACCTTTACCATCCGCTACTCTTCTAAATTCAAAATAACAAGTGCTGATATCCTAATGATCATTAGATAGTTGGTTGAGCAAGAGGCGAAAGTATTTCTCAACATATTCTAATTTACTCATGTCTTTCTGTATTGCATCGAAGCCGAAAATATTTGTTTCTCTAGCATCTCGTTGTTTTTTCATGTGTTCAAAGAGTGATTGTAGATGATAATCATATTATGAACATAAAATCATTTGAATGATTCATATTCCATCGTCATCAATAACAATATTATTAAATCGAAAGATAGATCCGATCATAAAAAGAATCTCTTCCTGTTCTGGAAGAAATGAATTCAACGAAATAAGTTTACCAACAGAAACCAAGAACATTTCTCCAATATGATAAATAAATAACTGAATGAGATAAATTAAGTCAATATTTTGTACTCGAAGTACTTTATTTAATAATCGATATAAAAATGATTGACGAGTATAACATCATAACGATTGTTCAGATAAATAATTTTCTCCAAATTCTTTTAACACCTTTAATTCATCTTTATCATCAGAAGTTGATTTTATTCGAATAAGACAATCATGTAAAAGTTGTGAATGAATAAACTGACTATTTAATTAACTGATTGATTGTCCTTTCTCACTTTTATATTAAAAATATTAATCGATAACGATCCATCTATTTGAGTAAATATAGTTTTGACCTAAAAAATGATGAATGATTTTTCTCTGAAGATTTTCATATCCTGCAACAAAAAATAAATATTTATATTTATATTGATTGTACAAAAAGTGAAAGAGCTAACAGTGAATGAGAAATAGTTATTATATATTTAGTTTGGTGTAGCGTTGAGCCCGTGACTCATTTGCTTTTTTTTTGTTCATACAATAAACATAAACAGAAGTTATTTGTCGAAATTAAACAATTTTCGGAATAATACTTTGACTCAATCGTCCGCTAGCGAAGTGATTAATAAATGTTCGAAGTTATTTTTGAGCTTGAATATTTTCTCTTGAAATCGTCCACAGAAGCATCAAATCAAATTAAGTAATATATTTCGAAA